CAATTATATTTAGGTTTAAAAACTACAAAATGTAAGTGCAAGTATAAGCATTAATGCCCCTAAGGTTATGTTGTACCAAAAAAAGAAAAAGTGTTTCTTTCCCTTCCAGAGTCTTTTCATGAATTTCTTGTAGAAGCACTTTTGTTATTTTTCTTAATATATTTGGAAAAGTTGGCGCTCCTTTTTACTGAGTTGATATTAATTATTGCCATCAAAATATCCAGTTTTTAAATGTTACAAAGGTAATACATTTTGATTTTTTAAACTATGTCACCGACTGCCCTATAAAGGGTTAAACAGCATCATTACAGAAATGAGAAATCAAGCATCTCTAGTCCTTTTCATAAAACATAACAGGTCCAATCTGCAAAGATCAGCTTTGACATTAGAATATCAGAAACATCCATACAAGCAAACAAGCACCAAATCCGCATATTTCAAGAATTAAAAACTTGCTAGATACATGGTCCAAATTACCATGTTAAAACTAACACTGATAAAAATCACAATTTAAACTACAAAAAAACCCCGCTGGAAATCAAAACATTTAAACACATAAGAATGCACTGCTTTGGATTTTGGTGATATATTTGACTTCAAATCACAGAAAAAAAATATGATGAATTGAAAGCAATAAAAATGTTTGAGGCAGAATCTGTTGTAAGCAACAGTTATTTCTTAGAGAGGAGAAACAGGGTCAGCGGGATAACAAGCGCAGATGACCATCATTACAAGTGAGAGTGCAAAAGGTTCAAAGCAGAAGTGAAGTAGGAGCAGGAGGGAAATAAAACCAGGTGGAAATAGGAGAAAGCACTTTCCCTCTGCCACATCGGGGGACTAAGTTCGAGGGGAGCAGCACGGCACTGAGCGAAGGTGACTGGTGGTTTTCTCTTTGCTAAATCAAATAGGTGATGAACTCAGTGCCAGAGCCATTTGTCACCCCTCTGCTGCTGTTTTTTTTTGCTGTACAGCAGTGACTTTGACCAAGGTTATCAGGCTGCTCAGTGCTCTGCCGCGCGTGCACAGGTGTCTGCTGCAGGTGCATGATGTCTGACCTGTTTTCTTTAGATTTATGGTCGTTTTCAACTTTAAAAATATGTTTTGTCTACTTACAGGTGGATGTAAAAAGTTTTTTTTATATATATATATATATATATATATATATATATATATATATATATATATTTGCAATGGATTTTGCAAATATTATTCAGGCTTTTTTCCCCTCTTGGTTATATGAATTACTGCATATCATTTAATTTTGGTGGAGGTTTTAGTGTTTTTAGTTTGGTGCATTTGGGGGATATTTATTAAATCTTTGCTATTTTTGTTTTTACACTCCTTGAACGGTTTCACATTTTATCACATCACAAAATGTAATGCATTTTATTTGGATTTTATCTAGTTGTACATATCCCTTAAGTAGAAATAAAATGATTAATTATTTCTATGTTTTTTTTTTAAATAAAAATAGTGTTGCATTTGTACTCATATCCCTGACTCTTAACTTTGTGGAACCACTTCTCAGGGGCAGATAAAGCTGCACGCCTTTAGGGCTAGTTGACATTTTTACAAGGCTCACGCATCCAAAGACTTATGTGCAAAAATCTCCCCCACGATTTAGAAAGTTTTTATGATTTCAAGTGAAACCGTTGCCTGTTCTTCTTTACAAATAGCTGAAGCTCAGTCACTTTTAACCATTTAGTTGTCAGCTCTGACTTTTCTATTTTAACACATTGATATTATTTGATTGAAGACTATTAAGTAACATATAAGTGGAAATAGCAGGTCATCTCTGTTTCAACATCTTTACAAATGAAACTCTCAAAAGTGTGCTGTACTGTTTGATTCAGGCTGCACCTCTTCACCCCGATGTCCTAAAATAAAACCTAGTAGAGCTAACTGTCTTCACAAGTCCCTGAATTAGTAAATTGAGTTAACCTGTGTGTGATTTAAGCTCAGTATAGATGCAGCTGTTTTGTAGGAAACATCTTGTACCATTGATTATGCTGGTCTATTACATAAACGACAATATGATACATCAAAATGTTATGTTGCAAAATGTAAAATGCCAATAAGGGCATGATTACTTCCGCAGGAGTAGGTTTGATTGCTGCGTTTCACGGTTTTCAACTCATCTTGTACCTATTAGCTAAAAGATTAACTGTGAGTTAGTTTTCTCTGCAGCAGAAAAGGTCTGCTATCCTCTAAGGTCTCTTCTGATGCACATGCATCTCCCTACATTCGTTTCTCCAGGACAGATTCACCCCCCCTCTACCCACCTCACCACCACACTCTCCCACACTTACAGCTCCTCAGATGTGATAGCTGACACCAGAGGCTTTTAATTCCAGTGTAAATACAAATACTCTCCCAGACAGCTATCAATTATGCATGCCACTAATTGAGTTAAATGTTGTGCTTTTAGCTGCCGGGGGACCCTGGGTCACATGCAAAAAGCCTGAAACTGAAATCCCACACATGCACTCGCACTTATGAAAATAGCTGCACTCAGATATGTTCGAGGACCTTTAGTGATTTTGTACTTTAAAAATAAAGTAGAGAAAAGAGGTAACTGAGACGACCACTTCCTGAGAACATGTCGGCCCTTTATGGTTCGCAGCAGGATGTTAGATATATTCCATACATTATTATGTAAGTATGTAATGTGAATTTAAATAGACCCTTTCACAGGCACAAAATAGAAAAGTGCTTTTCAACAAGAAAGAATACAAGATTCATATAAATACAATGCATAAAACATAAAGCAAAAACAAAAAGGCCAGGGAAAGCACTTATCTACTTGAAAACATGTTCAGATGAAGGAGTGGAGCTGCTTTTTGAAAGAGTCAACTGAAGGTACGCGACATGTTCCACCCTGAGGCTCGATCCCCTCCGCTCCCCAGAGGGGGCGAGATGTGAGGCAGGTCGGAGATTTAAGAGGGGGGCTGACCATGAAGTGCTCTCAAAAGGTTTTAAAATGAGCAAACCGGTAATCAGTGAGGGGAGTCTAGCTAGATGGGATTTCTGTTGCATGCGGTGGTAAAAAAAAAAAACAATCAGCATCATAGTGTAATCTTGTAGTTCCAGTTTTGATACATTTGATCCTAATGTTCTTCAAAAGTAGAGCTGTTGGAAAAACGAAAGCTAAATATACAGGATTCTTATAATGGGTGAAATAAAATCGCTTCTAGATTTTGTCTAATCTGATTTGCAGATATTTCTAACAAAGTTCCTGTAGTGCATTTCAATAAGGATGGCAGCTAATTGCACATTTAAAAAGCTAGACATTTTTAAAAAGATTATTATGTTTGGAAAATGAATCACAATAGTTAAAGTTAAACCCAAACTGCTAATAGATAAGGCAAGGCAGGGCAAGTTTATTTGTCAAGCACAATTCAGCAAATGGACAATTTAAAGTGCTTTACATGAATTAGATCATAAAATATAAGAAAAAAATACAAGCAGAATAAAAGTAAGTAAAGATTAAAAAAAAATGTAAAACAAATATAACAATTTGAGGCCAGATAAGGAGATACTATGCTGGACCATGAGGACCACTCCCTGAAGGACACTCTCTCTGCTCTGGAGAGCAGCTTCAGTGAAAGACTGATACACCCTCGCTGTATAAAGGAGAGATTCCGCAGATCCTTTCTTCCTGCTGCTGTCAGACTGTACAACCAACAATGCTAGCTCCGTATCAACCATATGTCCACCGTCACTTTACCTGTTATTATTGCATATCTATTGTATACTTCGCTCATATTTATTTAACTCTGCAATAATTTATACAATCAATCATTTGCACAGAACTTTACTGTTGTCACTCTATACCAGTGTTTGTAACCTTAGCCTAAGCCATTTAACTGTTCACACCAAGTGTGATGGCCTTGTCTGTGTATACTTAATATATATTTTCTATATATTTTTAACATTTTTTATATTTTGTATTCTTTCTTTTTTTCCTACTGTACTGTTCACTGTGATGCAACGCTGCAAATTCCCCATTGTGGGACAAATAAAGGATTATCTTATCTTATCTTATACGAACACCTATTGATGCTAGCGCATCACAGATGCAAAGCCGAAGTTAAAATGCATATAAATAGTTGATTTCTGTGCTAATAACCTGTTGGTTTACTTGATGATCAGCTGGAGCTCAAACTACAAACCTACATGCTTCTACATCTCCATGTA